ATAAGATTTGAAAAGAATCAAACAATTGATAAAATCGTGTTGAAACAGATCAACAGAGATAGAGAACATTGGTGACGAGTATTATTGAGGATAATATCTGTTGTTAGAACTCTTGTAGAAAATAATTTAGCGTTTCATGGAGATAATGAGAAGATATATCAAGAAAATAATGATATCTTCTTAAACCTAATTCAAATGATTGCTGAGCTTGATCTTGTCATGCAAGAGCGTATTCGTCGAATTCAAAATAAAGAGATTCATTATCATTACCTTGGACACAAAATTCAGAATGAGTTGATAATTATGCTAGCAGGTGAAATCAAGAAGATAATCATTGAGAAACTCAAAGAATCTAAGTTCTTTTATGTTATACTTGATTGCACTCCAAATTTGAGTCATGAAAAATAGATGTCTATAGTATTGAGGTGTGTTGATATTTCAACAATTCCAATGAAGGTAGAAGAATTCATTTTAGGATTTTTATTAGTGGATGTCTGTAAATGGACTTTTTGATTACCTAGTGAATTCGTTGAATAATCTAGAACTTGATATTGAAAATATAAGGGATCAATGATATAATAATGGTGCTAACATGAAAGGAAAACATTAAGGGGACCAGAATAGACTACTACAAGTAAATCTTAAAGCATTCTACACTCTTTGTGGGTGTCATAGTCTCAATCTTGTACTTTGTGGTATGACTACTTGTTGTACAAAAGCAAAATCTTTATTTGGAGTGGTGCAACATATATACACTTTGTTTTCATCATCTACTAAAAGATAAATTTTTTTTTTTTAAGATAATGTAAATGGCCTTACCCTTAAGCCTTTGTCCCTGACATGTTGGGAAAGTCATGTTGAAAGTGTTAAAACAATAAGATTTCAAGCTCCACAGATAAAAAATGCTCTACTTGAATTAGCAATCGTTGATGATCCTAAGACAAATAGTAAGGCGGAGTGTTTGGCAACATACAAAATAGAAAATTTTGAATTCTTACCTGGGATGGTTATTTGGTACGAAGTATCGAATAATGTTACCAGAGTAAGCAAATATTTGCAAACAGAAGACATCCATATTGATGTTGCTATAGACCATTTAAGATGACTCATTTCATTTTTCAAAAGTTATAGAGAAGTTGGGTTTGAATTGGCCATGATTGATGTTAAAGAGATTGCAAGTGAATTTGTAATACTCCGAATTTTGGGCTCATTTAATTTTTAGAATAGCAATTTAACTTTTCAAAATTTAGTATGATCAAAAAATTATTTATAGTTGCCAAATTTTGCATTGGTTGATTTATTAAAAGTTCTTCCAAATAATTTGTTAATTAGGGGTTTGGGATAAATGTCCATTTTACACCTAATTACTAAAGTTAAACATTGTTTTTTCCAACTTGGCCGAAAATTGATGAAACATATATGCATGAGATGTTTTAAATTTAAGCATGAAGTGACTAACTAATGCATGAGGTGTTTTAAATTTAAGAAAATGAAACCATGCAGCCTACACATTTTGAATTTCTTGAAGAGTCACTCAAAATTTATCATTTTTCTCACCTATAAATAGATGTGTTGCTGCCCTTTATTTTCCTTGCATGAAAAACAACTTATCACTTGTTTAAAAAAGGGAAGAAAACGTGAGGGGAGAAGAGGACCAGCCTAGCATTTCTCAATTCATTTTCAACCAAAATTTCTTCAAGTTTTATTGTAAGATATTTTCTATGCTTAAGTGGTATGATTTCATGGTAATATTTATGCTTAAGCTATGCATGAAAAACCATAATATGAATGTGGTGGACAAGTTCACAAAGTTAGATATCTATTTATGCCTTAGGACAAGTTCGAAGGGCACTGACAAGCCGAAATGTGCAAGTATGTGTTTGATTGCATTCTTTTGTGTAGTATTAACATGTTAAAATCCAAGCATGGTATCTTACTGAGTATTCTTTATACTCATAATGTTCTATACTAAATTCTCAGATTCATAATTTCGGAGTTGGTGGAAGTCAGTCGGCATAATCAATGATGGGTTAGGGACAAGGTTGTTTTGCATCGAAATTTTGTTTTTGCATGTTTTGTTCGACTGCTTTCCATATGTTTTCTTATGGTATTGTATAAAAACATGTATGAGACATGATGTAAAAAGGTACTGGAAGTAAATTATACAATTATATCTTCTATGTTGTGTTAAGAGACCTTTTTTTTTAAAACTTCTCCTTGCAAGTGACAAAAGGCAGAAACGGGACAGTTTTTGGGTTAAATTCAACACGTTATTTTTGACTCCATAAACGTCCATTTGAGACTCTGAAATTATTACTGCATTCCTCATTGAGTTGTCTTAATATGGGCACAAGAATCACTCAGTTTGGATAGCTGTAGCCTGAGATATGAATTTTTAAACGTTGAAGGGTCAAATCTGAAATTTTTGTGCAATATCTCACTGTTTTCAGTAAAACGCCCATATTATATGATCTTGGAAATTTTTTATATTTTAACCTAGAAAACTACTTGAAAATATCTTTCTAATGTCATAAATTTCATAGAAAACGGAGTTGGGATGAATTTTATAAAAATAGTCGAACTTGCTGCCCCAACTAACCATGGTAGTGCAGAGTCTGTATATGTAAAGTATAATTTCTTGTCAACATGCGCTTCTGCGGGCCATTAAAGATTTATGAGAGACATTTTACCAAGTTGAAAATAAGTTTCTAACATGTAATACTTCTATTTAAGAGTATTTACATGTACCAAGGGCAGAAGCTATTATGTTTTGTACGTGACACTCGAAACTTAAGTTCGGGGCATCACAGAATTAGACATTGAACTTATATTTCGTGAAAAAAGAGTTATATATAGAAAGAAGCAGTTTGATGAGATTTTTTGTGAAGAGGTGACAAAAACAGTTGAAAATTCTTTCAGGGTCAATTATTTCTTATATATATATATTAAATCAAGCTTTATCATATAGATTTGAACAATTTTAGAAATATGATGATATTTTTGGATTTCTATTTGACTTGGAAAAGCTTAAATCCATTGATGATGCTTAGTTGAAGTATTGTTGCATTAATTTTGAAAATTATTTGAAGCATAACATGGTATCTGATATCGATGGGTTACAATTATTTTCTGAGTTGAAAGTTTTAAGGGAAACAATACCTTCATAAACTAATGGAGCAACTGATGTATTAGATTACATTAAGAGAATGAATAGTTGTTTTGCAAATGCTTGTATTGCTTGCAAGTTATTACTAACTATTCTAGTCACAGCAGTGTCAGCTGAAAGAAGTTTTTCAAAATCGAAATTGATTAAGTTTTATCTTCAATCAACCATGTCACGAGAGAGGTTAAATGGATTAGCTATAATTTCTATTGAAAAAAAAAAAAACATGTTGGAAAAATTTGATTTGAATTGTTTGATTACTAATTTTGCATCTCAAAACGTGAGAAGACTAAATATGATGCTAGCCTAATTTCTCGGGTTGCAAGTGATATTTTATTTTGTAATTCTATCTTTTAGATTGTACAAAATTTTCATTTGAATATAGATATATATTTTTTATTTAAATATTGTTATACGTGTAAAAAAAATATAGGGTCTCAAAATAATTTTTCGCTTAAGACCTCTGAATTCTCAGGGTTGGGGTCGAATGCCAACCGATCCAACAATCTAATCTGAACAGGTTAACCATCTGATTCACGGATTATTGCAAGTAAAATGAGGGGACATATATTATTATAGCCCCCACCATCTTCTCGTTCTACGAATTAAATTAAGGCTCAACGCCATATAAAATTACAGTATCAGCTATGGAAATTTGGACAAAACGACTTTTATACTATTGCACCTATTGGTGTCAACCAGCCGAGTTGAGCCGGCTCGCTAGCCGAAACTCGAAACTCGGGCTCGGCTCGAGTAAAATGGTCCGAGCTTTTTAACGAGACCGAGCCGAGCCAAGCAAGAAATCTAGGCTCGGGCATTACCAAGCCAAGCTGGACAGGCTCGATTTTTATTTTTATTATTATTATTTTTAATGCTGCCTAAAAAAATGCACTCGGCTGCCTTTTTTTAGGCAGTCGAGTGTTGCCTTGAAAAAACGCAGTTTGCTGCCTAAAATAGGTAGCAGCACGCTGCTTTATATTTTATTTATTTATTTTAATAAATAAAAAAGCTCACGAGCCAAACGGGTTGGCTCGGCACCCAGATTGGGGCTCAGCCCGAGCCACGGGCCGAGCCACCTGTAGCCTGATTGCAATCCCTAATTGCACCTCAGTTCTTCTGCTGAAATGACATAATTGATGAATAAAATTGTCCCAATATGTATGATTTTTCAATAACGACATATTAGGCCAATAGCAGGTACTTAGTGAATTGTATATAGATAGGATTAAGCATCATAACCACATATATCTAATCAAATCATCATCATTTTTATTAGACAGTATTTCCCAGCTGACCCTTTTCAAATCATTTGGAAAAAAGACATCATAAGTGAAAAAGGAAAGACCGCAATTTATGGGAATTTTCATTAGTACAAAATTAGCTTTCCCTCTTCAATTCATACTGCTTTCATCAGCCGGCTGGAGTTGATTATCGGTTACTTGTCCAAAGCAATAATTTGGTGGCTATCTACCTTGAAACTGTGTCCAAAAGTGACCAACAAAACAGCCATTCCATAAAGCCTAAGGCAACACTCTCCAGAGATGGTTCAGGTAGTTTATCATACAACAATTCTTGTCGCGTGTAATTTTCATGTTAAAGTCATGTATTACTTAACTCAATTTTCTCACGAGTATTTTTAGTCTTTACAGTACATCATGTCTCACATCCCGTTAGAAAGTTAAGATCTCATTCATTATATTCAATAATGTTTCGTCGTGTAACGAGAATTTGAGAAATCTCATCGCAAAACAATTAGATCAACTTCCATTAGTGCAGCTTCTTAAACTCTTTCTGTGAAATCTTGAAACTAATCAGCAATGGCACTTTAAACACAATATCAAGAAAACCCCACAAATTCCAAAAATAGAACATCCAATTACGTTATAAACTACTTCAATCTTTCTCTTTTACTAATTTCTTTTTTTCCAAAACTCGCATTAACCTAATCTAATTACATCCACATACATGTTGATATTCTATCTGCCAGTGATCCCTCAACTCACAATGAAACCTCATGGCCCCGTTACCTTGGCAACATAACCATTAACTAAAGCCAGTGCATTACTAGTCATCTCCTTCACCTTCACAACACGACCACATACGTCGACTTTCACTGGCCCATCTGGCACATCCTCGAACCCATCCGTACACGTGTCCTCATTCGTCAGGGCAGCACTCACCCACGTCTGGACATTACTCAATTGAAACCTTAGGGACTCACCAGAGCCGCTTAGCCGGCGCATCTGCTTGAGCGAGCCGCATATTTGGTCGATTGCATCGTTAAAAAGCGAAAAACAGTCATGTAGCGCCGCAGTGGCTTGGTGGTCAACACCGTAGTCGGCTTGCCGGGAGAGGTTGGAGATGTAACCAGCCGTGCGCTTGGCTCTCGACAGGCTCAGGCCAACTGCCACTCGGGCGAGTCGTGCAGGGTCTTGTTGTACCGCTTTAGAGTAGCCAGCTAGGGAATGGTAGCATAATTCTGGGTATAATGTAGATTCACAACTTGTCCGGACATAAGAAGTGTCATTTGAGGGAGTCGGACTGACTGCGGGGACGGTAGCGTTGGAGGTCGAGCACCCAAAGGCCGGAACTTGGCTGATTATGAAGAAGTGAATTAAGAAGAGAATTGTGGGAATGGAAAATAGAGGTAGGTTTTTCATGGTATTTCTTGTTTGTGAAGAGCTCAATTTGTGGAGTTGAAGCAGGATGGAAACGTGGAATCCACCAACAAAATGAAAAATTGAAATATCAAGAATGATGAATCTGAACTCTGAAAAAGTGTAAAAAGCGTCTATATTTTTATAAGCAAGAATATTTCCTATTTCTATTAATACTAGGAAATCGAAATAAGGAAACTAATAAAATTCTAATCTAATTAAAAATCCTATTCTAATCAATAAAGAAATTAAAATTCCAAGTAAATAAAAAGATAAAAGTCCTATTACAACTATACCTATATAAGATAAACACAACTAGAAAAGATAGAGCTAAACACAAGTTTCCTAATAAAAAATAATCCTAATTATTTCTTTTTTTCCTAATTGATTTTGGCTTTTTTGTTGGTATTGTCCCGCATTAGGAGTTTAGGCTTTGGAGGTAATGTAGGGATGTTAAGGAGTCGAGCCGGCTCGAGAGCCAAAATTTTCGGCTCGGACTTGGCTCGAACTTTTTAAAGCGGGCTTTTTTTGGCCCGAGCCTAAAGTTTGGGTCGAGCTCGATTTCTGAATTTTTTTTTTTTCTATATACACCTCTTTACTGCATGTTTGGCAGCTCATACCTGCCAAACAGGCAACTAATCTGCTGCCAACTAGCAGCAAGTTTTTCCTCTCTTTTTTCTCCTTTTTTTTTCAATAGGGGCCAACCCAACTCGAAGTTTTTTCGAGCCGACGAGTCCGATTGCCATCCCTAAGGTAATGTGTGTATTCGTAGAATGATGTCAAGGGAGTTTAAGTAAGGGGAATGAATTTGTGATGTGACAATTATGTCCTTGGAATATAGTTTTCTAACTTCTAATAAAAAGGGGAAGGAGGATCTACTATTTATGCGATAGTAAATTAATTCAATTTTACTATGCATGATATCATTTTTTATTTTTTATTTTGTTTATGTCAAATAAATGTTTTTCCACATATCATGTCACTAGCACTAAAAAAATAATAATAATTTTAGTAATTATAAACTGCCATGAGAAAAAAAAACTCTTCGCACATGAGCTTTAAAAAAATAATAATAATAAACTCTCCGCACAGTGCAGAGAGATGACAAATCATTTGCAGAGTAAAAAAGAAAGAAAAAACTCTCCGCATAGTGCGGAGAGTTGACAAACTTTCCATACAGTGCGAAATAAAAAAAGTAACCTTTCCGCACAGTGACTGTCACGTGCGTTGTACGAATTTTGCATTTATCGTACTTTCATTAGTGTATGAACTTTAGTTTTTTGGAAAGTTTTTAAAGCAATATCTAGAAATATTTCCATAATAGAAGAAAATAATTGCAAATTATTTTTACAATTGCATAACAATATTATGTCATCTAGAAAAAATATATTTGTATATTTCATACTTGAATAATAAATATACGAGATTATGCAAATTATTTTGCTTGTATTCTTTGATAGTGTTGATATGATTGAGTTGAATGTGAATATTATATTTCTAAATTTTGTGTAATTCAATATTGGAAAATTGAAGATTGAGTACTATATTCATATGCATTTATATTTTGTGCTTCATATATATTTAGTATTTATTTTATACTTATGTTGAAAAAATAAAAATCTGGAAATTTTTTTGAAATTCGGTTTGGTGAGTGAATATATGATGTTCTGCATTCTCAGTATTTGTAAGTGTAAAAATCGATATATAAAAATACAGTAAGCTGCAAATACGGAAGGCAGTATATACAGTAAGTTACAAATACGGTAGGCAGCATATACGGTAAGCTTCAAATACGGTAAATTGTTTGCATAGAATATGCTGCAAATACGGTAAATTGCAAATATGGTAGGCCGCAGATATGATAAGGTGCAAATATGGTAAGTTGTTTGCAAATACAGTAGACTGTAAATACGGTAAACAGCATATACAGCAAGCTGCCTGCAAATACGGTAAGTTGCATATATGGATTTATAATTTATCATAAATGTACAAAATTTATTTAATATTGAATTTTTTAAGTATTAAATGTTGTAATTCAATATTATTTCATTTTTTATAATTGTATTTTCGAAAATAAAAAAAATGGTTATGAAATTGCTAATTTTTAAATGTGTTTTTTTGTTGAAGATAAAAATATTTTTTTTATCTTATTTGTAAAAAAAAATTATTTTAATTTTATTAGCGTAATAAGAAGATTTATTATGCATTTTTATTTTTTGCATTTTATAAAAATTTTTGTTTATGATGATTGACAAATATTTTTTCATACACGCATCATGCTAACAACATCAAAAAAATAATAATAATTTTAGTATATATGAACTCCATGAGTTGATTTGTCATCTCATGAGTTGATTTGTCATCTCTCCACGCTGTACGGAGAGTTTTTTTTTTTTTACTCCGCACTGTTCAAAGAGTTTGTCAACTCTCCGCACATGGTTCAACTTTCTCCGCACTGTGCGGAGAGATTTTTTTCTCCACACTTTTTTTTATTTTTACTCCGCACCTGACTCAACTCTCTCCGCATTATGTGGAGAGTTTTTTTTTTTTTTTTTTTCAATTTTACAATATTGAATACACAAAATTTAGAAATATAATCTTCACATTCAATTCAATCATATCAAAACTATCAAAGAATACAAACAAAATAATTTGTAAATTTCTTATTCAAGCATGAAATATAAAAGCATATTTTTTTTAGATTCTTATATCATGGAAATATTTTTAGATATTGTTTCAAAAAAATTTCAAAAAAACCTAAAATTCATACACTAATAAAAATATGATAAATACAAAATTCGTGCAACGCACGTGATAGCGACTAGTATTACTACAAGAATGGATTGTTATCCTTGTTTTCGATTTCGCACATGGGTGTCTGATTATTTTGCTTCCTTAGTGCGGGCATGAAGGTCCATAAATTCAAATACTTTGAATTTATTAGCATCAATCATAAGATAATCTCTTATAGAATACTGATTTTTCCTTGTATGTATTGAAGTATGCGTACATAGATATGTATTTTCATTTGTGTTAATTAAATTAGAACTGATGACACCCAAAACATTATTTATTAACGCGAACAAGCATATATAGAGGTATTCGAATTGTTCAAGGTGTCATGAATGAAGAAAGTATGTCTAATCAATTATTTTTATGAACTTTTATAAACAATTTCGTGGTTTTTGACATTGGGTAGACTATAGGGATGACCATTCTTGATCGGATCTTACTGTTACAGTAACTGTGGGAAATTTTTTTTTTTTTTTTCTTTTTTTCTTTCATCTCTTTGGTTGAAGATGGGGGTAAAAGTGTCAAGCACAATTTACACATCTATTTCAATGTTAACTTGCTGTTATTATTATTTATTTATTTATTAAATGGTGGAAGGCCAGTTTGAAAACATGGCCCGATGAACCGGCCATTTCCGTGTATTTCGTCCATGAAAAAATTGGTCGCCAAAAAGCAAGGCTTACTTTTTATTCCTAAATTTATTGTGATGGAAACATGTGTAGGAACCAGATTAAATTCATAATGGACTGGACCCAATTAACTAGAATTAATGGGTGATTGGTAAGAGAGCTTACAAGTGTGCCCATAATAATAGTTGAAACAACGTGCACCTTTTAAAAGTTGAGGATTAATATGCCACTACGACGACAAGTTAAGTTCCAATGGTACAATTCTCCCTAGTAATAATCCAAAACTTCCTGACAGTCCAAATCAAAATCATTTTCTTATCATGAACGACTTTTCAAGTAAACTGAACTCTTATTTTAGTGAATTTTAGTAATATAATATAAGGTACAAAACTTTAACCTGTACTTTTATGGTTTCAATTTGGTCACTCATTTCTAATTTATTGCAAATTAGTGAAACCATCTTTAAAATTGTTTTTATGTCGATCATTAACTTTAATTAAAATTAATCACCAAAATTTATTTCATTTTATTTTATTTTTTCAAATTGGTCACTAAAGTAGTTCCATTTTAGAAGTTGTGCTAAATTTGATGCATCGAAAGACCATTTATTTTTCCATACTTGAGAGATCTCTTTTAAAAAGTTCTTGGAGTGATGCTAATCCAAATCGAAGATCTTTTAGCTGCAAGAATATTAACATACTCATTAATGTGATATAATTTATTAAATGATAAATGTAGAATAAATTAAAGTTCAGTTACCAACACGTAGAGATGGTTAATGGGACGAGACCAAGTTGGGGCGACTCTCCAAGTCCCTCATCCCGCTTAGAATTTTCGGGAGGCAATGTATCAGGAGGATTAAAATATCCATATTTTTTCTCGTTGCTTATATTTATTTTTTGATGTTATTTATTTATTCAATCAAGATTTAAACCTAAAAAAAAGTGAAAAATGTTTCAAAAAATAAAAAACTAAGAGTCAAGGCGGGATTCATCTATATTCCCTATCTTTTCTTCGATCCGATTACCTGATTGAATAGGACAGAACCAGGGTATTTTGCCAACCCTACCGATATGAAACAAAATCTTAATGTTTAATATATTTGAAACAAATTAAAAGTTAAACTACCAAATTGAAATCCACCTATTAGTTTAAGTGCTAGTATGCTAGAAACAAGGTGAAGGAACCTTCCTCGATATTTACATTGCAATTCAAGTCAATAGTCTACAACCCGACTACACGCTGGCTGATGCCAAGTTGACTCAGTCCCATTTCTTCATTGTTCTTTATTTCTACATAGTCTATTCTATTTATTGCTACAAATTGTCGTCCAGAAAAAAACTCACCTTTTTCTCTTCGTTTCATTCCTAATCATATTACCTTTCCTTCCAATTCAAAAATCTGAGAAGCTTGAGCCATGTGCGCTTCCAACACAACGCAGTACCAGAAATACTTAGAACTCACACCGCCTCCGGCGAAGCCAGAAAAGGATGCACCAACTGGGATTCCAGTCAGTTCATCTGACCAATACTACTCTGATATCCCCCACCCACATGTTCATATTCATGTTCCACCCAAGCCTAAAGTTCCTTGGTCCACTGGCCTATTCGACTGCTTCTCAGATGTCCGGAACTGTAAGTTTCCACGGTGGAGCGTGCATCGGACGCTCTGTCAGTATGAAGATCATTTCTGACTTTCTGTTTTCTGAATTTTGTACTTATGAGCTTGTTTTGAAATTTTCAGGTTGCTTAACATGCTGGTGTCCATGTATTACTTTCGGACAGATTGCTGAGATTGTCGACAAAGGATCAAGTTGTAAGTCTTTCATGTTCTTGAATTCTCTGCAAAGTAAATGATATTAATTTCATATCAAAGTGTTGAAAACTGATTTATCGAATTGTTTTCCTGGTGCAGCCTGTGGACAGAGTGGAGCCCTTTACACAATTCTAGCTTGTGTGACTTGCTGTCCATGTTGTTATTCGTGTTTCTATCGATCAAAGATGAGGAAACAGTATGCGCTGCATGAATCCCCATGTGGGGATTGCTGCGTTCATTGCTTTTGCGAGTCTTGTGCCTTGTGTCAAGAATATCGAGAACTCAAAATCCGTGGATATGATATGAAGATCGGTAACTCTCTTTCTCTCTCTCACTCAATCAAATAGTTTTTCCATCCAATTGACATTTGAAAACAATGCAAGTGTCAATCAAAATGTCAAAAATTAGTGTACAAATAGCAAAATTTCATGCATAATGAAGGACCCACGAAATTTAGATCAAAATACCAAATGAAAGTGGACCGGACATCTGAAATACAAAAGGAATAATTTATAGTTATTGTCACTCAACTTTAAATAAAATCATATTGCGATGATGACTCAAGTATATACATGATAGATCACCCCTTCTGTGTTAGATAAAATTAATCAACTCGTTTAAAAAAAAAGGGGGGGGGGATTTGTGAGTTAGAATTCATGAGTTTATTTTTTCTTGCATTACAGGATGGCATGGAAACGTGGAGAAAAATAATACTGATACAGGAATTCCTCCAGTTGTTGAAGAAGGAATGAGTAGATAAAAAAAGCTAAGCCTTGAATTGAGAACCAGATTTCAACCCAGCTGTATCGAAGTTCATAGAATAATGTATCGTATGAATAAAAAGTAGTAATTAAGATGGTTGTCCTATTATACTATGAGTTGAGGGCGGTGGTGTTGCGATAAGGTTTTAGTTTGTATTATATTATTGTGAGTTGACTATGTTTATATATTAATTCAAACTTAGAATTTGTGACAAAGTTGTATATGCATTTTTATATATTTGACTAGAATCGAAAGTTTTCTCTCATCACTTATTTACCACACGTCATTATGAAATACAAAAGGAATAATTTATAGTTAGTGTCACTCAACTTTAAATAAAATCATATTGCGCTGATGACTCAAGTATATACATGATAGATCACCCCTTCTGTGTTTGATAAAATTAATGTTTGTATATTATGCATCAAAAATCCAGTAATTATCTCGGTCGAAAAAGACAATTAAATAACCGTTGATTCTTTGCAAGAGTATTGGTTATTGACAATCAAGACTATTTGATTCGTGTATGAACATCAAGAAATGATAGTTCTTGAAAAATATTGAATAGTTGACGAAAATTGAGAGAAAATTATGCTTCAGCTTGGTACAGATTCTTTAAAGCTAATTTATTTCTCAAACTTATTTTCAATCACATTTTTCTTCTAATAAACTAATTTTGTATGTGTATCTATAATTTTTTTCATACTTTTTAATTACATTTTCAAAAAAAAAGTAAATATATATTCTAAAAATCTATATCAAAACTCCATAAAATAGGATTCAACGTTATCTTATTTTCTAAAAGACTAGCCAAGAATCATAATATTGCAATAACACAATTGGAATCAATACAACATCACCTGAAATTGAAAATTAGAAAGAAAGATGAAAAATAGACTTGAATTTTAATTTCTTCAATGGTTCTTGATTTCTCCTCTAATCTTCTTCTCCTCCTTCGACTCAAGTAATAGACATGTGAAGTTTTGTAATGAAAGCTTATTTAAAGCTTTACAAAGAATGCGAAATTTTGTTATGAATGGCTCTCTTCTAATCTATATTGCAATAACACAATTGGAATCAATACAACATCACCTGAAATTGAAAATTAGAAAGAAAGATGAAAAATAGACTTGAATTTTAATTTCTTCAATGGTTCTTGATTTCTCCTCTAATCTTCTTCTCCTCCTTCGACTCAAGTAATAGACATGTGAAGTTTTGTAATGAAAGCTTATTTAAAGCTTTACAAAGAATGCGAAATTTTGTTATGAATGGCTCTCTTCTAATCTATGGAATATGTGTAATAGCCTCCTAACTTTCTCTTATATGTTTGTAGCTGAAAGAACTATTTATAGGACCAATTAGGTCAAAATACGTGGCCCAATTGGTTTTCAAATTGGCTGGTCCTTCATCTATGGCCCTTGCAACCCTTGTGATCCCAAAGGATGAGCAATTTCTAATTTGCATTTTGATCCCCGACTTCTCTCTTTTTGTCCAACTTGAATCATTTTTTCTTTGCACTGTTAATGAAAATTAATTGTCAATATATTCAATGTTATTTTATGAGCGTCATGAATCATGTCATATATGTTTTATCCACGTTAAATCTTCAAGTACAATTCTCGTACTATCTTAATAAATAAAGTAAAGAAAAAAGAAAGCATGCTAAAAATCACGCTGAATATCATGCCAAAAACCCGTACATGCTTAGGTGAGCGGCCTAAAAACCCTCGTCTAAAACGAATTTTGTAAAAAAAAAAATATAATAATAATAAAAATAAAAATAAAAGGAAAATATCATGAGCGAGGATAGTTACAAAATCAAGTGACGTAAACAAACTTAACTTACACCATAAAAGAAGTTTTACACACAGATGCACATATAATGGAATATGCTTCGATCTTATATGTCGTGTCATGGGACCAAGGCCATAATTGAGCCCAAAGTTAAATGACTCTGCAAAGTTTGGGCAGTTTCCTGCAGGCGGAATCTGCAGTTTCGACAAAATTGAAAGACCTGTCTAATTTTATTATTGTTTGATGGTCCAATTAATTTTTCTAAGTCA